ATGTATGTATGTGTGTGTATATATATATATATATATATATATATATATATATATATATATATATATATATATATATATATATATATATATATATATATATATATATATATATATATATATATATATATATTATATATATTTATCCATATATATGTATATATATATAATGTATATTTATATATTTATTATATAGATGTATGATGTATATTCATGCATATATATGTTTATAGATATTTATATAGTGTTTGTATACTCTACCTTTCAACAAGAAATGAAATATATGTACAATTTATCATAGGAGTTTGAAGTTTTAGGCAGAATTTTTGTGAAACTTCAGTGATTAAAAATATGTTCACATACTAAGTGGTGGATAATGCTATTGGCTTGAATCACCATCGTCTCTCTTTGACTTTTTTATCTGTTGTAAAAGCTCTCGTTTCAAGTATGTTTTTTCTTCCATCTTTTATCTGACCAGTAATTGTTCTTTGTTTTTCTTTTTTGTCTCAGAATAAGGTATACTAAAACTTCACTAATCTGGTTTCTGTATCAATGAATGGGTATTATTGAGTATAAGTATCTGAACCAGAATTTCAAATGAAAGTGGAAGTATTTACGGCAGAAAATGCCTAACCCAGGCACTTGCAGATAGCTTTTGCTTAATCTCACTGTAGAAAGGAAAAGAGAGATATAAAAAGGAAATGTGATTTTAGTAGAAGTTAGCGTTCTGGAGTTTCTCTCTTTGCTAAATGTCTAGTGAGATTTAAGGATCAAAGGTACATTTTCCTTTGTCAGACGGAGGTTTATATTTTCTCTCACTTTTTAGTGGTCACTTTATTTTATGCATTTCTTTTTTCATTGCTTTTACTGGCAGTAATGAATGGCAATTATGTTCACGTCCTCAATATTTTGTGGCTTTGGAAGGAATATTCAGAATTTGCTTTGGGAGGTCTTTCTCATTCATCTCCCTTTTTTGTGTGTTTTTGTTTGCCAAGATCGTTGTAACACATCTCTAAGTGTAAACAACCACAGTATACTTGAACTTTTTGTTTCATTTTTGTTTCTTTCTCTTTTTTTTTCTTTTTATAAAGAATTATACAAAGTATAAGACTTTGGCTCATTTGTATGGCTGTAGAAAAAAATGAAAAAAAAAGCATGGAAAAAAAGTGTTTGAAATGAACTTGGAAATGTGTATAATTCAACGCCAATCACATTCTGTTTTCTCTTAGCATAGTAAAAAAGAGAATCAAAGAAAGAAAGAAAATACGAGGAAGGATAGAAGCATAGAGAGTATAAGTCCTGATGACAAGGTGGATGCCCTTTCACAATGTGTTTCAGCAGCAGAAGAATTATACAATTTTCTCTCATTTGTTTTGCACCATTGACAAGCTTAAATGTAGACTTTTTTCTTTTCTTTTTATTCATTTTCTTTTTCTTTTTCTTTTTTTTTTTTTTTCTTTTTTTTTTTTTTTTTAGTTTTATTATTTTTCTACTTATGTGGTTAGGCTTATTGCCAAAGCTTGAATTCTGTTGGGAGGAATGACGAGTTTTATGTCATATGGCCAGTTGGACAAATATATGTTCATGTGCTCGACTTAAAACTCAGAATTTGGGGGTCAGTAGCATAAGGCTGGCTCATTGAGGTCCTGTATTTTGGTACTGGTTTCTTAGGCCAGGTTCTGTTGCCTTACATTGAACAAACAGACAGCCAAAGAGTAGGGGGATGGCCACTAAAGGGCAGTTATTTCTAGATGACTTCAAATTGTAGGAGATATAATTTTGATGGTTTTAAAAGTCTGGGCATTGTTGTCAATTAGGATATTGAAAAGTTTTATATAAAAGCTTATGATTCAGAGAAAAATTAGATATCTATGAACATTTCCTTATTAAAGTCACAAGACAGTTGATGACATGGTAATGTAAATGAGAAATACAATATATTCATATGGTAGCAATGCTATTGATAAATTATGGTCATATAATTTCGTTTTGTGTCTTCAGGCTAAGGGAATGAAGACTTTCCAACTTACCATTCTTTTTTACGTATCAAACTGACCTTGAGTAAAGAAAAGTTGCCGAGGCCAGTGAAAAGTAGCTTTCCAGGAGCCTCCCTCACAGTTTGGTCCCTCAGGGGAGCACAGCCTCACATGCACTTAGACTCTACCAAAGGTACAGACTCTCAGCAGCAATTCTGGCAGTTTCCTCCAGACTGTTCACTAATTTCCTGTACCCTTTTTTGTGTTCCTCCAATGACCCTCGCAGGAGCAGTTTAAGGAGGCTGCCCCTGTCAGACCACAGTTCGGGCTGAAGATGCTGCAGAAGATGGGCTGGTCACCAGGGGAGGGCCTTGGCAAGAACAAGGAGGGCACTCTTGAGCCCCTTCTGCTTGATGTCAAGATGGACAAGAAGGGTGTGTCTCCTCCCAGTCCTTGCTTATTCAGTAAACTATTATTTTACTGTAGATACCTTTTGAAACCCTTTGAGATTGTGTGTAATTGGAGTT